CCTATCTACCTAATCCCCACAGCAGCTGGAAAGGTTAAATGTCTGAATCAGGAATCTATGTGACTGTTGTACCAAAAGAGGAGACAAGTGTTTGTACTCTGAAGCAGGAACAGGGAATGAAAAAAGAGAAAGAGCTAAAAAGTATCTATCACCTCAGAGAGCTTCAGAAGTAACTCCTGGATTTTTTAGCTGATATTTTCAAGARAGCAGATCTCATCTGCAGTTCAGATAAATGTGTAAGACAAGGAGTATATTTTCATAAAACCTGGGGCTGCTTATGAAAGTTAGTCTGTTCTAATGTACTACAGAGCCTCCCAGAATTAGGAGCAAAAGAAGGAAAAAATAAATTTAGTATCACAGCTGCCAAGAACTGCTTAGGTGCAGTTCTTAAAAAATTTCCTTAGCAAATGCCTGCCAAGCCAGACAGTGCCTCTCACAGTGCCTCTCCCTCTTTCTGTATCCAAAGCTCACCCCGACAGGCGCCAGCAGCAGCTCACTSGGAGAGAGACAAAGCACACATTACTCCACTCTGAGAACTTTTTAACCTCTTCAGTGTCAGCTGCTCTAATCAAAGTGTAATCAATGAATGTTTTCCCTGTATGCAAGCTGTTAAGAGAGCTGGCTAATTGGCTCACTGGAAAGATTTAAAGCACGTGAATTTTAACAGTTCCATTTTACCAGTTTTCCAAGGACTGTTGTGAGGCGATAGCTGCAGAGGTACTGCAATGCAGCACAGCTCAGCTCGCAGACCACTGACACAGAATACTTTGCAAAAGTCTTAAGGCTACACTTTACCTTTTCACACTGCTGTGGGGGGCAGGAACATGAACATTGAAATGAAAATGTTCAATAAAGCTTTTTAGCAGCTTTATTAGGAGCTGGCATTCTGTCTGTCCCCACTCCCAAGCTCGCTTTCAGAACAAATTATCACTATTTCAACCAAAGTTCACTTTTCTCTAAAAACATATTTTAGCTTAACTGACAATTTTTTTTTTTAACTCCTTTCATACTGGGCTGTAACTTGCAACTTTTGCCACTAAAAATCAAAATATGTCCTGAATAAAAACCAGCAAGTGTAAAATATGCTTCCCTATGAGGTATATATTCCATCTTAATTTCTACTTAATTGCTTAATAGGGACACACTGCTCCAGACTAAGATTACTTTCCAGGCTAAGGTTTTTATTCTGCATTTACTTCCTATTTGTACAATATTTTAAAAGATATCTGAGAGTTGTTAAGCTGGAAGCAAAGTTAAAATGCTTCTGTTTATTAAAACTGGAATGCAAAGATAAATGTGATTGATTGGTTCTTCCTTTAATATTGTTCTAAGTAGCTATTGGTCCTTAAATCTTTAATTTCATATCAACCATGTACAGAAGAAGTGAGCTTCACATCTGAAGAATATGAAAGATTACTTTTCTGAAGCCTGTGGGACCTAGTTAGTGTAGAGTGAATATATCAATAAACCTCCATATGAACTACATCCACAATGTTTATTAGAAATCTTGATGCTTAGCATTAATTGACCTCCATTTAAACAATACATGTGTACATAACATACAGACACAGTTTATTTTCAGTTTTTAAAATAAAAGTAAGGAATCATTCAAAAACCCCAGAGTTACAGTTGCTGTTCCTAAATATATACTTCTACTGTTGAGCTCAAATTTTTTTTTAATCTCTGTTGTTTTCCTCTTGCTCTTAATAATCTTTCCATAATTTTGCTCAAAGAATTTACATTTGTTTGGATTTTCATAATGTTTTGCCTCTTCTGTATCTCAGAGAGATGAGGGAAAGAAAGCTGGTGAGTGTAAATGAGAAAAACAGGGACTGAAGAGCAGAAAACCTGAGAAGTTGATCCTTCATTTATACTACCCCAGTCAACAACTTTGCATGGAATCACTGTTTGTATCCTCTATCCTCCTTTTGTTCACAGTATCTGAGCCCTTATACAGACTTTTCACCAAGAACACTTTCATCTGAGGGACAGGCAGCGTGGTTCATCTGAGCACAGGTCTGACAGCATTCAAAACAATGTTGCGATGCTATTCTGTTTTATTTGAGTTCATCTCTCTACTTGTGTATTCTAAACAGGATGACAAAAAAAAAAAGCACCACAATATTGATGGGAAAAGCTATTCAAATTGATGGCAAGCACTAGGGTTGTTTTTTTTTTTTTTTTGTTGGAGTTACCATTCTTATGAGATTTGTTGCCAAGTCTCTACACATGAATGTGAAGCAAGTTCATATGAGGCTTAGAATGCGATTCTGCTTGAAACAACAATTTAGACTTTGAAAACTGTTCCTATAGTATTCACTTATTTTCTTCCCACAGCATAGCACATTGTTTATTTTTTGAGAAAATACCAAGACAAATGTTCTGTAGGCTTTACTGCATAAAAGTAAGCTTTTTCTACTCACAATTTTAACTGCTAATCATCAATTGGCTTATATTATTGACTGGTACTTATCACTCAATACCTGAAATATCAGTAACTAAAGATTTCATTGAATGTTTAGTTTGCATTGCATGTTGCAAACCAATGGCTTAATAATCTGGAAAATATTTTAAAAAATTACTGGTTAACATTTGTAGTGGCTATTCTTGGATCTCCCCAGAAAAATCTGAAGTTGTAGTAACAGTTCAGAATTTTCAGTGTGAAAATGGAAGAAGCAAGCAATGAGCCAACTTAGATGTTGTACCTCACTAGATTTGGGAGCATTTTAAAGTGAGAAGCCCCTGAGGGAAGCACAGTTGTACARTTTTAAGACTATTTTATGACTATGTTCCAATATATGCAACAAGATAAGATACATTAAATGAGAAATCAGGTGTAAATTTCAAATAAAGGACAAAAGAGTTCTGCAATAACTTTAAAATAAAATAAGTTTTTATGCTCATAGAGAGTGTGTTTGTCTTTCTGTGTGATCTATAAATCTTTAAATAATTCTCTGTGAAGGTTACTTAACTGTTCAAAATTTGTTTCATCTTTCTTTGATGTTAGAGATTTCTCAGGAAAGAAATATTTAATTTTACATTTGATTTATGTAGTTTGTAGATATCTGGATCTCAGATTAAAATATAATACTTCTGCAGGAACATAGCACATGCTGGACAACTATGGAGTACCCTCAGTACYTTTAAAGATTCAATCATTTTCTATAAAAAGGCAAACTTTTGGGCCCTGTTTTTCTCAAGTCTTACTCTCTGTGGTTTGTTTTGAGCTATTTTCTGAGACAGAAAATTGGCTTTGTTTCACTGACAAGAAGTCAGGCAGTTGGGACTAGTCTGCCCTCACCAGGGTTTTTGGTGAATGGACCAATGACATTGGAAAAATGGAATAAATATGCAATATAATACCTGATGGATCTAATCGGAATCATTTGAATTGTATGCACACCAAAACTAAATTTGACATGGTACTGAGCTGTTAAAATGCAGGGTACAACTATGTCAACTAAAAGTTCAATTATAATAGGAAAAAGCTGTCAAGCAAGGTATTTTTTTTTTTTTTTTGTGCATTAACAATGGTACGGAACAACTGTGACATGCCAGTGATTGTTATGAGTACCCAGACACCATGGTGATAACTGCAGTGTAAAATCACCAGACAGCAAACAAGACTGCTGGAACTAATAGGAACATTCAGAACCCAGCGGGGACCTCTATCTGTAATGGAATTGCTTTTCGATACTTCTTCTTTAAAATAACTCTGATTATTACTCATTCATTTTTATATTAATATGTTCCATTTATTTAACTAAAGATAGATACTTTCAATTTCCCTTGCTCTCATCTGCCCATTTCTTATTAGGGCCTGCCTGATTTATTCTGTTTGGTGACTCAAGTGCAGATAAGCTAATAAATAGATGCTTGATTCCAGATCTGAAGCACAATTGTACATTTGACTAAAATAGAAGCAGTTTTTCCTCTTGGTGTGCCATTATCAGGATCCAAAGAAATGAAAGAGAGTATCATATTGGATAAATTTTGGCAGTACTAATTCATCTTCCCTAAAAAAACCTGATTGACTGAGCATGTTTTTAGAGCTRTTGTTTCACCTGACACCTTCATGTCTCCAAGGCTGGGCAAAATCAACTTGGGAATTCAGTTCGAACTGCTCACTGAAAAACAATAACACAGTGCCAGCAAGTCTTCACAGACACTTGTACTTGCTGAATTAATCTGGCAAAAACTTTCAAGTAACAACAAGAGCAAAACCACCTCGAGTTCCAATCAGAAGGTAATATTCCTCTGACAATTCCTTGAGAACCTGTTATCATTTGGGTCACTGCTCATGGACAACAAGAAGGAGGTCTGACCTTTTATTCTGGACTCCAAATCAATCAGKGTATACTTCTGCCCACTGAAACTAGCTTAACCTCTAGAAAGCCAAATATTAGCAAAATTTGAATGAGATGCATCCCACCTTAAATGTCTTGCATTTTGCTGATTTTCCTGCTGATGCTTCTATTTAGAAAGCTGTCATTTTCACTAATAAGTAGTTGTTATCCAGGCCTAATAGCCCTGAAGGTACAAGGACACCATCATCCAAAAGCAATAATGGGAAGCTCTACACATTCTGCAGGAAGCATTTATCTTTGTTTAATTCTAATCTGACTGTTCAAAGCAATGTCAGATCTTCCTGGAATTTCTGTTCTTTCTTAATCTACCTTTTGCACTAATTCCAGGAAGAGACTAGAAAAGAACATAAAATGAGCACTAAGGAGAATAAAATGATTAACTARGTTTTGATCACTGCCTTATTATATGCACACTTAAAGAGAGCTCTTATAGTTGCATAAAATGTTTCTAAAAGCCAAGTCTGTGACAAAAATACAGCCATTTCCTTGGGATACAATTGTCACTTGAATTTTCATTCCAGATGACCGCTGATGATAGCCGGGAAACTCGCTATCTACAGCAGCCTCATSCTGTTAAATGAGTGGCTCCACAGCACTTGAAGCACATGCCTGGAAGGTGATCATTTCACTTACCCTCGGGCTGGTATTGTGCTATGATTGTCACCGTCTGCCCCGCTCCTTTGAGCGCAGCCGCAGCCTGCTCATGGGTAGCGCCTCGGAGATCGATGCCGTTCACCTGCGCAGGGAAGGCAGACAACAGCAGGGATGAGGAGTTTGGCAGCAGACAGGGAGGCAGAAGCCAGGTTTTATTATAAATATCTGATGGATGTAAAGGTCARATTGCCCAGATGCAGAAGCAAAAGCAGAAAATCAAAAAGGCTGAGAGGATATTACCTTTGACTAGCACTAGTACCACACACCCCCACAGTCTGACTGTGCTTATCCGTGCAGATTCCCTGACCACTATTTTTGGGTGTTTCCTGATCTACTGAGTTTACATTTTTGGTTATCCCTTCATCAGGCAATATCACTTAATATATAACTTCAAAAAATATATTTTCTGTGGTGCTTGAAGGTTACTGTAGAATACTGCAAGCAAGGAAACTGCCCCTTCAGCCAAACTCTGCAGGCCCAGTCAGTAGCACCAGGGACATACAGAGCATGTTTAACAAAATTTGCCAGTTGCAGAACTTTCAGAGCAAAAACCCCATTTACTGTTTTCTGTTCATGCAACCCCTCCTCCTATAGTCTGGAAATATCCCATATTTTGCACACAACAGCAATGGAGTTGCTATCAGATACAGTTTCCTCAACCCTGCCTGTTCAACATCCACAGATCTTTCCGCATTGTTTCTTTTGCTTAATAATTTTTGGCCACAAAAGCAATGGAAGAGGAACAGAGTAGAGCAAAGCAGGAGATTCACCCCTAAAACTCAGGGGCAGTTTCAGAACTCTCCTGATTTGTATCTTTGATACATATTTTATCAGCAGTATCGTAAGGAAGAGACGGAATTTACATRTAGATTTGTTAACTGCTCCAGTAACTTGAATCCTGCTTTCCAGTGGGAGCATTACTGTCTGGCTGTACTGAAGTATGTGAGATTTCTTTTATTTATGTGTTGGCATTTCTATGTATGTATGCACGTATTTATTTATTTGTCTTTCCTCTCACTTCTACAGGTTTACACTTTTTAATGTTTCAGTGAAGAACACAAAAATTTTGACATGTAGCAACCTCAGCAGGACAGAAATCCACTTCTGTTGTTGAAGAAAAGGAAAAGAAAGGAATAAAGGGCAGGGAGAGGAAAGAGAACCATGCCATAATAAGTGAACAGGCAAAAAAACTAGACCCAAATTCTCAGCTGCAGCAAATACTTGTGTTTATGTTTATCCAGTACACTTGCAAGATGGCTAAGCACATATTGAAAATATGAGGTATTTAAAATTTAGATTTTAACAACTTTTTAAGGATTACAAAAATAAATGTGATTCCATAGAACTTTCTAAGAAACAGGTATTGAGTCTGTTATGAATACATTTGTTTTGGTCAATAATGCTTAGAAAAAGGCCCATCTGAACTTGCTGTCTTTCATCAAATTGTAGAAAATGTGATGTTTTGAGAACACAATTGTTATTTATCATACAATCACAGAGCCATGGAATAGTTTGGATTGGAAGGGAACTTTAAAGTCCCKCTGCAATGAACAGGGACATCTTYAACTAGACCATGTGGCTCAGAGCCCTGTCCATTCTGACCTTGAATGTTTCCAGGGATGRGGTACYCACCACCAGTCTGGGTATCCCATGCCAGTGTCTCACCATCATCATYATCATCAAAAATTTCTTGCTTATTTGTGTGACAAAATCTAGTCTTTACTAGTATGAAGACAATATTTAGACTATTACTCTTAGAAAAACTAATTTGTKACAGCAATAATAGAAAGCCCAGGAGGTATCACAGTTTCTGATCCAGAAGCCTGCATGATGTTGTAGAACTGTTGACAGTACACAGAAACTCTGAGCATGGGCAAATATAACATAATAATTTCATAATTTAACACAGGCATCCTCAGTTGTCTCATGTCCCTGTGATGTTATAATGGCAGGTGGAAGCTTTAAAAAAAAATTAACCAAAGGTTTAAAAGCTTTCATTAAAGATGTGCACAGAAATCTCTGGGAAACACTGAAATTCAGTGAGTGAAGAAATAGAAGACCCTGGAGACCAATAATTAAGTGCATTCTAAAAGAACAAAGGAGAGAATCAGAGCTTTGTGTCATAAAAATCTAACAYACTTTAATGTACAAGAGTGAAAATACCAAAAGAAGAAGATGATATCAAKAAGTATTTGCAACCTCTGTGCAGAATACCAACTTCCTATATGAACCACAACTTAGGCTACTGCTGTACAAAAASAGGTGCTGTTCCCTGCCTTTTCTCAGTGATGCTGTTATGACACTCGATGCTGCATTGCATTTTACACAGATGTACCAGCACTACAATCACTGAATAACTCAGCACTATAGTCACGTTCTGTGAAGTCTGAGCAGAATCCCTAAATTTAGGAAGSACCATGCCATGGAGGAAACATGACACTTGATTCTGTGTGTCTGAGGAAGACTACTTGGAAGTCACATAACCTTTCCTTTAATAAATATCTGTGTGCTTTTCCCTTTCTTAACCAGTCTGTGAGAGAGTCCCACAAAAGAATAGGATGATCTAWAGAAAAGCTTAAAGGAACATTCCTGAATTCCAGAGCTCCTGGGCTGGGGAGATRGATATGGATGAAGTCACCTGGTGAGCATTTGGAGGTTCCAAGAGAAAAAACAAACAAACAATTAATTTTTGGCTTAAGCTTGAAGTCTGTGGACTGTGGGAGGACACAAGCCTTTCTTAGGCAATATTGTGGTGGTCTCTAAAAGTCGTTTTAATAGTATGGAAGATTTAAACATCATTAATAAATCYCAATAATCTCTCTATAGATAAAAGGAGAAAATGTATGAAAGAATAAGGAAATCACATGCTTATTCTCCTTCTCCTATGAGAAACAATAGTTCTACAGCTATCTGAGCTAAGAAGTACAATCCTAATAATGCATCAAGATGATAAATGTAAGACAGGAATTTCACTGAAGTTGCTATACAAACATTTTCACTTSTCCACAGAAAAACACGAAGCCCCTGAAATGGCAGCTGACTGCTTCCTGCCCTTTGCACCCTGGTTCTAGAAGAAATGTTTGCCTAAGKTACAAACAACACAGTGAACAATTTTCCCTGATATTAATTTCACTTTTCTGTTAGGAGATAGGAGTGGATACACACTTGAGGAAGACCTAGGGGTCTGAGTGGCTGAAATCAAAAGGGTGAGGAAAAGAAATGTTGGAGAGAAAATAACACATAAATTCTACCTTCTGCAATTTTAATCTAGTTGATAATCAAACTAAGGAAAACAGACTAAGTATTGTTGAACAGGTAAATGACCTGATTACATCAGGCTGCTGTGATGTTGAAGATGCACAGCTGCAGAAAAAAGTCAAATAACCATTGGCAAATAGGTAGGGAGAGGTCTGTTTGCATGTTATTTTACTCATCGACAGTGACAGAATGTCACTGCAGGATAATAAGCATTAAATTTAGAAATTATTTATAATCTAGTCTGACTTTGTAAACAACAAGGAGAGTTGATGCTAACTTGATTTCTGGGTATCATTTCCCCCTATTTAAAAGCAAATATAATCAACTCCCAAACCTTCTAGTTGAAAACCAGCATATTCATGTAGCAACATTAAATCTTGATGAAAGGCACCATTAGTTTATACGATTTAATCAAATTTTTACCATCAGAGCAAAATGAACAAGAATTTGGAAAGAATAAAACAAATAATAAWCTGTCTTGCCTTTCTTCAAAACAATACCTTAATATAATATTTCATAATAATTGTGTGCAGTGACATTTTTCCCTGATATGATTTCATTGCAAACTGTTAAATCTGATTAAAATTACTGCTTTTAATTAATTTAACATTATTTATGTGAAGAATAACCAGTWAAAGAWAGTTWAAAAAAATCAGAAAAAGGTGCATGAAATTTAATAAATATTGTTATTATATTGGTTGTTTGTTTTATTTTCCTATCACAAATGGCTTTTCTTCCTTCAGAAAGTATTATACAATAAGCAAAGTAGCTGTTGTGAGCTTGACTGCACAGCCCTGATGTCCTGGCCCAGAATGAACTCGACTGCACAATTTCTGATGCCCAACTTCAAAATGAATTTGACATAATGGAAATAAGAAGAGCCTGCAGCTTATACAGAAGTCTGTCTCTTCTGCATGCTGTGGCAAAAAGCAGTTCAAAAGCTTACAAACAAAGGGAAGTGAGGCAATAGAAGATTAGAGCTGAAAACCACAGTCAAAACTAAATTGAGATGGAGAAAAAGATGCAACAATAGCTCACAGTAATTACTGGATCTTTACATTCCTTGACTCAAAATAAAGCATGATCTACTTCATTTAATATTGAATCATAATTGAAAGGAAAGATCAGATTGACTTTTTGYATAGATTGAACTCTTCTAAAATTGAAAGAGTTATATTCCCTCTAAAATACTTGAGTAGCCYGCATCAGCATGAATTGTTTGTGTTCTGAACAGACTTGTTGCAGTCTGGTTTTCGTCTAGAAATTGAACATGATTGTAGGTACATCATTCAAAGAGAGGGTAGCAGAATAATCTGGTTTCTTTAGCTAATCCTTTCTTTAGGCCACCTTATTCTGTTTGTACASTTGTCAAATAAACACTTGGAACACCTTGTTGGATGGGAAAAGAACAGAAATCTCTTCTCTGGGGAGGAAGCACAAAGGATTTATTTTCATTTCTTCTGTAAGTTATCACTGATATAGTATGGTGCTTTTAAACACTAAACTAAAAGGTGAAGGAAAAGCACTCTTTTACCATGGAACAAACAATAGAGCAGAGTTTTCAAATKGTGTCTAAATTCTTTTATTTGTTGAACTCACAAAACAAGAGCTCTTGGTGCCTGAAAAGGCAAACAGAAGTCTGAATAAAGATAACTGTTTACAGCCAGAATTGCCATTGTTTGCATTAAGAGAAGATACAAAGAACCATATTTATCTAAATAACTACACATCAACATAAATATTCTCAAGCATATCATCAAGAGATGAAAGGAAAGCTGGGCCATGCTCTCTAGCAGTCCTRCTTAGTCATTGGGCATGTAAAAT